TAATGCTGTTGCTAATAATAAAACAAAATTATTTTGTTCCGGAAATAATCAACGGAAAAAGTTTTTACAAAATTATATATATCAAAACAAACTCAGATCTCTACTCATTTCTTTTAGTTGAGAAATAAAAGAAATACTCAAAAAATAATAGACTAACTCTTAGATTGAAATACATAATATAGTAGATTATATTTAAGATATCCTATAGATATGTTTGAATAAATAATATATTTTAAACTATAGGAAATTTTTCATAGAAAATATTGTTAAAATTTTAAAAATTCTTCTTAATTAATTGTTAAATCAAATTACATAGTCAATGAAACTTTGTTTGTTTTTTTTTTCTACGCATATTTATTATGCAAACGAGTTTATATGTACTCAAAAAAGTTCTTCGTAATCATCTATTTAAATCTTGTTATACAACATTAAACTAAAGCAAAAAAATATATTTATATAGATAATTAAATGTCTTGAGGCTTTAAAAAAAATATGTTGAAGTCAATTGAGACTGCAAGATTAATAGTCATTATTATTTGTGTAAAATGAAAAAAAAATATCAACTCTTATGTGTTACTCTATGAAAGTGGCTCTTGACTTTACTATTTAAAGAAAAGAAAAGGGCGTTTCATTAGAATGTTTTTTAATTCTTGTTAGTAATTAGAAATTGAAGAGAGAAAAAAGAATAAAGAGTTTTAGAGATTAGAAAATGTTTTCTATCAAAGTATAAAGAAAATAATTAACTTTTGTCAATTTTTGTTAATCATACATAATGTTCTTTTTTTTTTGTAATATTTATCTACTAGTTTGAAAATTACTATTAAGATAGACAAAAAAAAAATACAATGAATAGAATTTCAATGAGACATTACTATATACAAAAATAGAAAAGAATCTTAATTCATCTACATGCAATAATCGAAAAAAAAAATATAAAGAAGAAATGAATGAGTAACATTAATATATAAGATTTATTGAATTATCAATAAAATGGTACTTAACAGAAAAATCTTATATTGAGTAAGATTGTAAAAAATACATTATAATGACTCTTAGCAAAAAAAAAAAATTGTACTCTCAAGTGAAATATAACTGTATCTATTTTTATATCTGTATTTCTAATGTTATTTTCACTAATAAGTCAGGAAATTAATACTTCGAGATCAATCACTTCAGAATACAATGTTTTATTTTTTATTTTTTCTTGTTTCTCTATATTATACAAAGTAAAAAAAAAAATACAGATAAGATTTTATTTCATATATATATATTTATGTATTTTAAAATAAAATTCATATTGAAATTAACTAAAAAATATAGTTTAAAAAAAAAAAAGAGAAAGCAAAAACAAAACGGAAGACGATAGTCACAATGAAACTAATGATGATAGTCATTATAGTCTAGCTTCCAGGATGTTGTTCTTTTTTTTTTTTTTTGATTGTATATAACTTTGATATATAGTATTTTGTATGTAAAAAGAAAAGTTCAATATTAATTCTTGCAGAAAAATTAAACAACTCATAACTAATTAATTGTATTCATTGAAATAAATGTCAGCAAGATATCTATAATTAAAATTGTTTCGTTCTAGGTCAATTGTTATTTTTTTATATTCATATAAGGAAGATTAGAAAAAAAAAAACACTTTTTTTTGTTGTACTCATGTTAGTAGATCTAAATATCATTTAACAAAGAAAAATATTAAAAAAAAAGAGTATTTCTTTTAGTTATGCACGATAATGTTGTTATATATATTATTGAATAGATGTTTTTTTTAATGTTTTCTTCTAAAAACGAACCAAAAGATTAAAAAAAAAGATTGTTTTAGTTCTTCGCTTAAAGCAATAATAAATTTACTTGTTCATGCATATTAATTGAACTACTATATGTTCAATATATTTTCATATTAATCATAAATAAATACCCTTTAGTAAACTATATTACACAGTACATCGATCTTCCATTATTTATTATTACCATTTTTTTCTCTGTAATACAAAATGAACATTACATCCTTAATAGTTGGAAAAAAGCAGAAGAGAGAAAAAAAAAAAAAGAAAAGAAAAAGAAGAAGTCTAGTAAGAATGAATCTCATTTATATATGAATTAGAACAAATTATTCTTAATATTTTTTTTTTCTAGATCGAAAAACGTCTTGTGTGTGAATATTCTATTTTTTTTTTTGATTTTTATCTATTGCACATTTTATAAACAATGACATTAGATCAAACAATAATTGACAATCAAACTATTTCAATAAAATCATCTTTACAAAATCTTTATAATCAATATCCAATAACATTTTTTTCATTTTCTGATTTATATACATATGAAATTATTATATTACTTATTTATGGTATTATGATTATATTTTCATTTTTTACTAATTCTATAGCAATAATTATATTTTTTTTTGGTCGTCGTTCACGTTCAGAATTAACACCATTTTTATTAAATTTATCTATATTTAATATTATTATGACTGTCTATTGTATACCATTTACAATAACATCAATTATATTTCAACGTTGGTTATATGCAAGTGCATTATGTGTTGTACTTGATGGTTTTAAAACATTTTCTGTATCAGGTGTTCTTCTTACATTAATAACAATAGCTATTGATCGTTATTGTGTTGTTAAATATCCATTAACAATTAAAATTTATTCACCAAAAAAACGTAATCTTATTGCAATATTAATTATATGGATATTAAGTATAATATTAGCATTAATATGGTCACCGGCACGTTCATTACCAACACATGAAAAACGTTTATGGGTTAATTCACGTACATTATTAGATAATTATTTAAATACATTAGATAATATAACAAATACAATTGAATCAAATTATTATTTAAAACAAATAAATTATAATATTATTGATACAGTACAATGTTTACCAAATAAAAATCAACGACCAATTGAAGTTCAACGAACAATATTAAATTTTTTACAAACATATTTTATTCCATTATTTATATTAGCATTTGTTTATTTACGTATAGCATTTATATTATGGCAACATCGAAATGATGTAAATTATGATTTTCATAATATTGGAAATAAAAATTTATTTACAAATGAAAGTATTCAATTTAGAAAAAAATTAAAACAAGTATGTTTATTGTTATGTTTTTTTTCTTTTGTTTGAATTAAAAAAAAATGAAAATATCATTTCCATTTGTGTATAAATGACAAGTTATACAGATAAAAAATTCATCAAATTATTTTAGAATTTCTTATAGAAATAATCTGTAAATCCGCTAGCAAAAAAAAAAAAGTAAATCTTTGATTAATAACAACAATCTTGTTGATTGTTATTTTATATATATTCAAGTTATAACCACAAAACAAAAGAAATTCAATTGAGACAGCTAATTGTCTGAAAGAAATAAAAAATCCCATAGAGACATTATATATGAACTTATTGTTTTTGCTTAATATAGTTTTTATAGAAATTCTATACATCAAAGATTTAAGAATATAATCTTGACATTTTTTTTTTTTAATTTACTCTAGAATAATTAAAAATTCTATCTGAACAAATTTTATTTATTAAAATACTATTAATAATCAATGTAAAAAGTTAACCTATTATGAAAATAAAACGTTTATTTCTATTGAAAAAAAATATATATATATATTAAATATTTAATTTATTTTAAAATATGTTGAATTTAAATAATAATTTTCTTATTTTATGTGTATAATATTCACTATTTTCTTATCTAATAAAAGTTTAATAGTGTATTTAAAAAAAAAAAGAAATTATCTATTTAAATAAATAATAATCATGCAAAAAAAACAATCAATTAACTATTATCTAAATTTTTTTGTTATTCAATTCTATATCAAATAAATCAATAAACTATATATATATATATACGAAAGGTTAATGCAAGATTAGAAATTTTCAAGACAAATAAAAAAAAAAAAAGATATCGAGATTTGTTTGTTTTTCCTCTATGCTCATAATTTATTTATAAAATATTAATATCAATTGATGAATTTCCCCATAGAAACATATTTTTCTTTTTATTCTTCATCAATTTTGAGAATGTCTACGAAAAATTAATTATTAATTAAAAGTCAATATACATTTTTAAATGTATAATCTATCAAGAAAAAAACATAATTGTTATTTTTTAGGGTATTAAAATGTTAGTTGCTGTTGTTGTACTTTATGCAATACTTTGGTTACCAATGAATGTATTTCAATTATGTTTAAATTTAATTTGTTATCAAGGAACAACATATCAAACATTTTGTACTCATCCAATTTTAATTAAACTTCTTTATATAGCTGCACATTTTTTAACAGTATCAAATACAGCAATAAATCCAATTATTTATGGATTTACTAATAATCGATTTCGAGTAAAAAATTGTTTTTTGTTTTTGTTTTTTTGAATTTGAATTCAATTTAATCATTTTTGTTTTTGTTTGTTAGAGTGATATTCGACAATTAAGTCGTCGTCTTATTCATTGTCAAGGACGAACACCAATTTATTATCAAGCACGATTTGCAAAAAATCATCTAGAAGAACCTGTTGATGGTCTTCATAATTCAAAACGAAATCTACCTTGTACAGTAGTAAAAAATCCTCGAATATGTGAAAAATTAAATACAAAACGACCATTATCATTAACTGATCAAAATAAATTCTATAGAACAAAATATACAACAAATATATTAGACAAAGATCATTTTATTACTAAAACTCGTCATACAACTTAAAAGAAATATTTTTCCGTTTTTTTTTTTAATATTGTGTAAATGTTGTTTTTTTTTTCCTCACATTAATTTTATATTCAAACAAATAAATATTTACTAGTAATATCTTATATCTAATTTTATCATGCCTTTCTTTGGTTACGCTTCAATGCAATCGATGAAATAAATATTTTTATGTCGATTTACGACGTTCTTTTATATACATATATATATATATATATAATACTTAACGAGGTAAACATTATTGGCTTGTACATTACATGATGTATTATCCAACGGGAATGGGCCGTCACACAGGCCATCATTATCATAATGTGGCTGCTCAAATGCATGCATATCTAAATGATCCTGGTTATCACTATCCTCATTATGCAAAAACTTATCATGGAGGAGGAGGATATGGAGGAGGATATGGAGGAGGATATGCTGATCTTTTACAATATAGTGCTCAACAATTTGGAATTGATCCAATGGTTGTTAGTGGTGCTACTACTTTTGCAAGAAGTTTTATGTACAATTTACTTTCATAACTTCTCAAAAACTATACTAAAACTTGAATAAATACGTTTTTTTTCTTTTTCTTTCTTTTCATTTATTTTAGAATAAAATTCTATGATTCTTTACATCATCTTTAACTTTATTATTATATTTAAAGTACATATCAAAGACAATTTAATAGTTACATTATACATAGACTAATAAATGTTGAAATTTATTGAAAGGAAGTTGCATAGAACATTGTTGTTAATCATTGACATAACAAGGAAATAAGAATGAACATTTTTTTTAGATATATCATGAAAATTCTTTTTTAGATAATATCATGACATATTTTATTGCGTATTTTAATTTTACATTCTTTATATTTTGATGTTTTCAAATAAGATACTTCAATTTATGAATAGATTAAAAATTTATAAGTTCTTTTATGATAAAAAAAGTATAGATAAATTATCTTTTATTTTTTTGTTAATCAAAAAAAAAAAAAACTATTTGCATTTCAGTCAATGCATTCGAGTACTTTTAACATCAATAAATAGGTTATATTGATTTAATTTTTGTTTTTTTTGTTTTTAAATAAAATTTTCATTATATATAACACCAATTTTTCTCAGTGATTTGACCAATATGTTTTGCGTAAAACTTATTTACTACTATTATCAATTTCAATATTTGTTCTATATTAATCATATCCTTTATGATTTGTGCCTTTTTTGTAACCTAAAAACATTAACCGAAGAAAAACAAACATCAATAACAAAAAAATAATACCTGTACACTACGAACGATTGATGAATCACAAATCTGATTAAATATAACCGTAAATAGTATTTCATTTCTAACAAATACATCAATATCTTTCGAAGTATTTTGTTAATATCGACATGTTAAAATATTCATGATTTAATTTTAATAAAAGAACTTATTACAAGTTTTTTTTTTTTCCTACAAAATGTTAAGATGACACATTACATAAACAATACTACAAGGCTTTAAACGCTTCAAGTATTAAATGTTATTTCTTCTTAGAACGATTAATCATTTCCATTTTTCTAGTTTTATAAAAATATAACAAAATTAATTGCATTCTTTCACATGGCATAGATTAATGTTTGTTTCAACCTTACGTTCTTTTACACCTAAATATTGCTTAATTAAAACTGATAAGAGGATGTTATGAAGCATTTGATTGCATTTTAATCAAGACTATATTAAGGTGAAAGGTCACGATCAGTAGTGTAAAAATCTAAGAGGGTTTAGTTGTCTGAGGATCATGAGATGTTAGAATAAAAAGAAGAATTATCTATTTTATCATAATAATATTTCAATATTCATATTTAAGAGTAGAAATGAGCTAATATAATTGAGAAAGATCTTAGAATTCTGTTGAAAAATGTGATATTTCAATAACAAATAACTTTGATAATCGTATCCCTTGAAACTTTTATATTACTCACTGTGACCTTTCACCTGAATATAGTCTCGACTAAAAATTTAGTAAACATTTGTGGGTGTTTCCTCATAAGTCGAAAATACATATTTGTTTTTCAATGATTAATGCAAATTTTTTTGTTTTGTTAGTTAAAAACTTCAATGAATAATCCTAAGCAGATTGTTTTTTTTTTGATTAAAATTTATTTAACCAATTATTTTTAATATAATCTTCAATTTGTTTTCCATTATTCCATTCAAAAAAAATCAGCTTGAAATTTTTTTATATGTAATTCTTTTGCCATTGGATAACCACTACGAGCACAAATAAGATCACCTTTTTTGTAAACTATTTGCTGCACATACATCATTATATCCATCACCAATAAATAAAATAGGTATTAATTGTGAAAATTTTTTATGAAGATATTTTTCAATTATTTCTCATTTACACATATTTGATGGACATGTTTGTTGACCATATTGTTCTATAATTAAATATTGTTCATTTTTATTAAAATAAGCTGGATTTGTAAATATATCTTTAAAATTATGATAAAGATGATGATATTTTAAAATAATATTTATAAAAACAAGATTTGAATTACTAATAATAATTAAATGTAAAAAACCATTTGTTAATGGTATTTCTTGCATATTTTTAATATAATCATTTTCTTTAATATGATATTTATGTAATTGATGAAATATTTCTTGCATACGATCAGTCCAACATTGAAATTGTGAACAATTTTTTTTTCGACTATTAATCGATCATCATCTGATGGAAAAAGTTTATTAACATGTGTATCTGAATTAGCATCAATAATTGTATGATTAAAATCGAATACAACTAAAAACATAATTTATTGTTTTTTTTTCTCTATATCTAAAAGATACAAAAAAACAAAACAATCTAATGAAGGATAAAGATTAGTAGAAAACTTTTCAGGATATGATGTGTACACAATTCTATTTTTCTATATTCCATCATATTAAAATCATGAATATCTCAGACATTAAAGGCATCTATATGCATTTAAATTCATTTTAGGAAGAGACTTGACTTCTAAATTGAACCCTATTCAAATTAGAAAAAAAATGGATAAATCTGAAATTAGTTTTCAAGTATATTGATAAGTTTTCGTAAGAAGAAATTTTAACTAGTGTTCTTAATTTTCTAAAAAGGAAAATTCATATCACTCTCTTAAGAAACCTAAATAATAGAATAAAACATCAATTAAAATATTAATAAATACTGTGTTCTTGTTAAGGCTAGAGTCCTACGACATAATCCTGAAATTTTCCGGTAAGAAAACAAAAGAATTCAGAACTCAAAAAACAAAAGATAGACATGTATCATGTCTATATAGTATGTCGAAATGAACCAGCAAGTTGTTCATATATAAGAACAAAATGTTATGTAGACAAAAAGATAACTATTTAACTTTTGATTTTTTCGATAAAGATGATAGAAAGAAAAATGCAATGGTTGTACTAAGCTTCATAAATTTTGTTCATATATATTTATAAAATATTGCTTAGTACTTTCAATATCTAATAAAAAAAAACAACATGGTTCTTTATTATTTTTCAATCTAAAACTACATAAACATCTTCAATTATTTAAGATTTAAATTGATTGATATTGTTCTAGATAACATTTAGAATCAAAATCGACAAACTTTTTTATGTTTTATAACTTAATATATTGATTTAATTTGAAAAAAAAAATCATTTTGTAATATTGAACTATTTCAATTGTATAGTTTTATCTAGAACAAGAAAAATATATATATGGATAATTATATTTTATACAATGAACAAATATATCACAATAAAATTATATCTGTCTTTGTTTATTTTATTTTTGTATCTTTTACAAAAGATCACTACTATTAATTGATGTAAATAATTTCCAAATATTTTTGCTGATATTTGTGAACCAATTAAAAATTCCAGCATCACGTCGAACTTGTATATCAGCTAATAATAATTTAGCTTCATTTTCTGTTTTCACATTTTTTATATGCTTGTACAGTATCATATTGATTAACAATAGCTTGTGCTTGTTCAATATTCATATGTGAAAATTATTGTAAAATTTGTTTTCATAATTGTTCAAGTGTTTTATTTGTTTGATCAATATCAATACGTATTGATTTATATTGTTTCATTGTATCAATATGAAATGTAAATGTTGAAAGATTTTTAAAATGTTTTTCAGATGCAACTGTTATAGTTTTTGTAAATGATACAATTAATATAGCAAGATTATGTTCTTTTTCAACATATTTTATAATACAATTTGTAATTCAACATAAATATTATCTAAATCATAAGATATTATTAATGATGAATTAGTACCAATAATAATAATAGTTATAGATTTTTTTGATTTATATTTATCATTTATTGTTTGAAATAAATCTGATAGATTATTTTTTTTTGTATTACATACAAAAAAAAAACAAATTGAAAAAATTGTTCATATATCATTAATAATAATAATTGATTAACAAATTCTTCATTTATATTATTAGCAATATTTGATATTGACCTAAATGAAAACATTGAAATTATTTAGAAACATTATTAAAAATTAAATTTTAGATAAACAAACCAGGTTATTGTTTTTGGTACTGGCATACTTTCAATAAGATATTTTGCTTTTTTATCATCGAATTCTTTTGTTAATGATTGTCCCTATGGTTTATTAATAATATTTAAAACCATCCAAGCTGTTACTTCATGTACTTTACTCATTTTATATTTAACAAATTACAAGACAGATCGATGAATGGATAAGATATAAGAACATCTCATTGGCTATAATTAAGTACCTAACCAAAAGAAATTTGAATAGATGAACTAATAATTCCACAGAATAACGTTTTATTTTTTTTATTAAAATATATCTTAGATGTTTAATTCATATATGAAAAATTCGCTTTTTTTTGATTTAATGAAAGTAAGATATATGATATAACTAAAGGTACACGTGCAGAACAAGGTTCCGAATGGAATTTGGAAACAAAATGTTTTCGTACATTTTGTTTAATTTAGTAAAATGTACGTGTACACTTAGCTTTCGCGAGCAAAGGATAGCAAAATGTATAGATTGAAGTTTGTCATATAATCTAGAAAAAATAAACTTGTTCATTTTATATCTGTTCAGAAATATACAACAAACGTATAAGATTAAATAAACAACATATATGCATACAACTATTACTTAATCTGACATCAGTAAGAACATATTTGCGAAAAAAAATACATATGAACATTCTACTAGCAAAAATCAATCAAAAGTTTGATCTTCATCTTCTTCATGATGCTTATCTACATGATCATCACAGAATCATATTGAATCAATATTTATACCAAATTTGATTCTACAATAATTATCTTCATTAGAACTTCTAATGAAAATAATGATGAACTACATTCTGATTCTACTGAAGACGAAGATGAACCACGTTCTGTTACCGGCTTGTCCAAACGTAACGCTGTGACGTTGGGGTGTGGGTGGGTGTGGGGTGTGATTGTGTTAAAACAAAATACTCACACCCACACACCGACACCCACACTCACACGCTCACATCCACACCCACACCCACACCCTCGATTCCTGATAGTTTCGACGGTCGAAACAATCGATCTGGGCAGCTTTCCATAGTATGCTTGTAGATAGTTAATTATTTCGAATTTTTATTTCTTTTCGTTTTTTGCTTGAATTCTTAGTTTTTAGCGTATACATACCAAAACTACGAAGAATGACCTTCAAGTACCGGCCTAGAATATCCAAGAGAAGCTTAGTGACTTGGCCAGCTGCATGAAAAAAGGCCCAAGGGGTGGTGGTGAGTACTTAACTGTGTGACAATGTGCTTTTTTCTAGTCAGCGCTCTTGGTAACATCTGCCAAAACATAGAAAACAATTTAATTTAAGTATTCTATAAAAAGTGGTTTCCAAAAAATCTTCTGAAAGGTTCTAAAAAACCTGTCTATTGCTAGAATAGAAATCAGCATACTCAAAAACTTATAAGAAATGGTTTTCGAATAAGAACCAGGTATTTTTAAGGACACTTTGGTCTCTGAAAAACTAACTTTCAAGTACCTCAGAATTCTGTAAACCACTTCGTAAGAAAGAGCATATAAGAAAACCTATTTTAAAAAAAGTATTTTTTAGTGTAGTGGAGTGTTTTAAAACCAAATGTCCATGTGGCTATCAAAAATTGCCCATTGTACAGTATTGAAAAGAAGGCGAGAAAGCAATGATTAAGATTGAACATTCTATCAACTCAACTCGATACGGTTAGATCTCTTTGTAAGCCTTCTTTCCGAGCATTTCTTCTTGTTAGTACTACAGTCCAGAAGACGCCTTTTCTGCCGCTGAAACGACTTCTTTTGTCCAAAAATACCGTTTATTACACTTAAACGCTTTTTCGAACGGAAAAAGACAAAAAATTCACATAAAATAACGGTGTTGAAATGCCCGTTATAATGTATATGGCACCGTTTATACGACATTTTGACCGTTTCAAGCCTCCTTGGGTGAAAATAATTATAGCTACTTGTGCTTTCGAGTTAGTAAAAATCATTAGACTATATTATATTTCGAACTGCCATATTGGCATCGAATGTAATCTTTATTTCTAAATAATCGATCATCTTTAACTAAAAGTCATTCGCTAAAGTAACACGTAATTGACCGATTTCACTTTTGTTTGATGACAGTTGCACCAAACTTGGCAGCTAAAATTCGAATAAAAATTTTCATTTAATAAATACATTTGCCTTCATTCGACACTTACACTTGATGTTCATCGGTACTTGAGCGTGTGTTGTTGCAATATATTCTTTCAACTCGGGCAATTCTTGAATTTGTTGGAGTAGTCGTTGAACATTTGGATATTGCTCAAGCAGTGTATGTTCATCGTCAAAGGAGAGACAATAATCGATATATTCATATAGTAGAAAATCAGCCACGGTCGGTTGATCACCAACAGTAAACTTGCTGTTCCGTTTGTTGAGAAGAGCATTGAGCTGCTTGAAAAATACCCCGAGGACTGTCTCGAGAAATTCTTTCTTTTCGGCATCTGAACCACCGTTTGGTTTATTGCAAAGGGCTCTAAATTTAGCGCGAACATCGTGTGCCTCTTCACAGAGCATCATTACAAGTGCTTCCTCTTGTGGAGTTGTACCCATAAGATTATTTTTACGACCGAGATAGTACAAAATGGCCCTTGATTGAGTGATTTTCAAATCACCATCAATCAAATAGGGCAAATTCGGAAAATCTGAATGAATGAAATCAAGGCAGGCATGGGTAAATACGTCAGAACAACTCACCTAAGCCAAGTTTGAGCTTTTCGTTGAGCCATTGGTCACGACTGTATTCTGGACCATCACCTACTTCGTATGTTTTGTTTGTAAAAGGCGTTTTTGTATAGTGAAGAGTCAAACGAATCGGTTCGGCTATAGCACGGATTGCCCAGTAGCCGAGCACGATTTGGTTTTTGTCAGTGTTGGATTCAGCCATGTTGCATTTTTGTCGCCTATTGAAATAATCTAGAATTTTTATAAAACGCGACCGTTAAAGTGTAATCCTCAAGTGGTATGGGTTGAGCAGATGATTATGTCACCACATGTTATTAAAAACGAAATCATCACATACATCGGTTGAACGAAAGCAACTGTGTCATCTTAGAATTGGTCAACCTGTTAGAATGAATATAGCTTCAGCTGCTACAATAGTGAAACGTCGTATTGCATGGATTTCCGACCTAACATTGGTTAATGACGACTAATAGCAGACCTCTTTTGCATCAACAAAAAAAGGTAACGTGTATGTGTATGCGTTGTTATACAAGAAAAAGATGAAAGTGAGCGTCATTCTTTCTCTCTATCTCAATGATAACAGGTTGAAAAGAAAGTTCAGACGAGAAGAAGAAATGAAAAGAGCACAAAAAACAACGTGACGCACCTCTTTTGAAGGTTACGAAATATTTTTTGTTATTTTATCTCTCCATACTATCAGCACAAGTAATGCTCGTCGCTACGACTCGCTTGACTCTCAACTGAAGTCATTCTTTTCTTTTTGAGAGCGATTAGAGTATAATCAAATGATCAGTATATACATCTTATCAGCATACAGGAAACGTCATACAACACAATGAATGTTCACTACACCGAGAAAAAAAAAGAAAGAAGAAATGTCGCTATTGATGGATTGATTTTCGTAATTGTTTGAACTATTGTATGAATTGTTCCTTGTACAAATCCGATGGTATGACAAATGCAATAAACACAGTCACAGATTGTAGAAACGAGACAAAATAGCCACAAATATACAGCCATGGATTACGAGATGCTTTTACACATCCAGACAATAGTGAAATGATTAGGCGAGGTGATGATAAAACGATTAGAACTTTCGAACTAATCACAAGTTGTTTGTGATCATTGAATTGTTGATGAAGGTGTTGCTGGTAGATTTGTCGAGTTCGAGCCGCTGCTCGTTGATGAGCACTTTTCAAGATGATGAATGGAGCTGAGACGAGATTGATCAAAAATGTAACAAGAAAATGAAAGAATATGATAATTGTGCCGTAATACTGAATGGGCTAGGAATAACGAAACACACACCAGACACGTTTCTCTTGGATGAGTGTGGATGTGGTTAAACTGTATATTGAAACGTTTCTATCGTTCACATAACATTCGAAAATTTGAAAGTCACCTCAATGAATTAGTCAAATGAAGATAAATCTAATCGTTTGATTGCTTCTAAAGGACAAAGCATACTTCTATACTTCTAAAGTCTACATAAGTTTGAAAAATTATTATGAATTATGAGGAAGCACACAGAAGTATCAAGGCACATAAATAAATATCTAGAAGTTTGAATCGGTATACTAAAGTACGAAAAAGGATATCAGGAAGTAATTTCAAAAATTATGGTAAAGTACGAAAGTGTACGGTTTCCTTTTGAGATTATTCTTTATGCACTGAGGGTGTGGGTGTGTGTGAATGGCTGTGGGTATTGGCTAAGAAAAGATGAACAAAAACATCCTCACCCACACTGACATCCACGCTCACACCCACACCCACACCTATCCACACCCCGATTATTACTGTCGTTCATCAAAAGCGTGCATTACAATGGCGACTGGAGAGCTGTATATCATCATGATTATGGCGATACGATCAAAGGGATAGGATGTCAAGTTAAACAAAGATAATATCACTAGATCATGATAGTTAGCAGAGATCGGAGATGTCTATTGGAATACTATGGAATCGTGACTGTAGAGATGGATATAATCACGACGTTGTTGCGAGATGATCAAAGCAAGGCTATAACACATGAAAGAAAAACATTATCACCGGATTATCTTCATTAGGGTACATAAAAGAAGTTTAGAGGATGAATACCGATTAAGCAGTAGGAAATTAGATGATATCGATAAGGGCACTGTGGGGTATAAATAGTTGCGCATTGGCAGAGTAAACCATTTCGTCGACTTACTTACTACTATTGCTGCTAACAATGTTCTTTCTATGGTATGATCATCTAGAATGTTTTTCGTGACTCTTGATTGTTTTGTTTAGATTTTATGTGAATTCATTTAGCTGCATCTTCTGATCAATTTCGATTCATATCTGGTCGTAGAACGCATTAAAAAGCTCAAACTACACTCACAAGCTTGAAGCGACTCAGCAGCACAATCATAATGAGTAATTATTTTCAATTGGTTATGTAAATCGGTCCGTTATGGAAACCGACCCGTTGTGGAACTTAAAAAGCGAAGACTAATATACAATATTGGAGTTAGACCTGAACATGAAAACGTTTATATTTACTTATAATAATAAGAAGAAAACTTCAAGTCTTAATCTTTGTCAGAGAGCAATAATTAAAAAAACTTGCTCGTAAAATTTGACGAAAGCATAATGTACGTGTGCATACATCAAATATCCCTCGCGAAAATGAAATACATCTCACTCATTAGTCTTACTACATTATTTATTACTTTTCGAATTATATTCTGTTTTTTTTCACTTTAATATGGATCGGAGATGCGCGTCATTACCTGTTATAAAGAGTGATTTTTATAACTTATCATTCACATTAAATTGAAAGAAAACTAAAGAAAATAATAAGCAATGGAGCAGCCCTAATACTCATAGATTTTTACAATTCTATTAAGCATATACATATAGTTAAAGCATTGATATACCGTATACATATTTAAAAAACTATTGTAACAATTCAAGGAATTCTATTTCTCAAGAAAGAAGTCGAGAAAATTCAGAGAGTGAGTAATAGTGTTGCTAAAGAATCAAAAACGCAAATTTAATCCAATATTTGTTTGTAAGTCTCTGAAGACGAGCTTTTTCTCAAGAGAAAATTATTCCGCAAATCACTTTATTTCTTATGATTCAGCATCACTGTCAGTGGCAGGCCAGCACCAAAATTCTTGGTGTGACAATTGCTGGAAAAATCGTTTTACTGATCGATTTTCGTCCAGTTATCGGTTATTTCAAATATTTCGGGTGTGGCAATTGCCTCACTTTGCCACGATGGTGGCCCGCCACTGATTACTGCATGGGTGTGGATGTGGG